TTTTTTTATTAGTGCGCATGCGTAATAGTATGCAAATAATGCAAAATACGTTAAATTAATTTATGAATTGAGTTCGGCGCGACAGTAGCACAACGTTTGAAATCAAGTCGTGCTACTGCCGTGCGGCACGGCAAGGCCTGCCGCGCTAAGTAGTCGTGCCGAACCTAATTCAGCCGTGCCGCGCTTAATGGTTTCAAACAGCGTGCTACTGCCGTGCTTAAATCGAAATTACTATTTCATTTGAGTTCGGCACGGCAGTAGCACGACGTTTGGAACAGGCCTAAGGTGTTAAGTCTACTTGAATCAAGTTGTTTGTAATTTCCCAATGACTGATTGGCAGGAACAGCAAGTGTACTGTGAATAGTATTGCCTTTGATGGTATAGGCAGCATTCTCAGTTGGCCCCTAGCAATATAACTTTGATTTGATCAAAATCATCACCAGCTTTAGTATTATAATACTTGAGGGCTGCCTGATTCAATGCCTTTGTTAAGTGTGATTTTCCGACACCAGCTCCACCAGTAAGAAAGCAGTAAACGGGGCTTTCTGATGTTTTAATTTGATAAAAGATGTCTTTTTGGTCTTCATTTAAAGTCTGGACCATTTGGCGATAATCATCATCTGGTAACTCATTCAATATCTGTGGTTCATTATTAAATGATGTTGATGGAATACCTAGATCACTGGACAGGTCATAGTTTTCATTAAAGATTACTTGTCTGGAACTTTTCCTCATTGATAGCTGAAGAACTATGTAAACTGCTTCCTGAGCACTTATTTCAACACTGTTTAAACTTTTATTTCCAATGTCCCTTACTAGTTGTTTTATGCTAGAATTGCCCTCCCTTGCCTCATCACATGCCTTTTGTGGAAGCTGATTCATTCCCTTTATGATACAATGTACATTACATAAGCATAAACATCTAGGAAAAATTGTATATGCATATTTGCTCTCCATGCACTTAGACAGGCACTGTTATAGTTGCTTACTCCTAGTTCATTTGGATTCCTCTTCAAAAATATGGTAGGAGAATGAAGACTTGATCGGATAGCAAGATAGTAGTTTTGTTCAGTAATGCTGAGATTAGTCAGTAATTGATCAAAGGAGATATCTTCACCTTCCTTCATGTCATTAAAATGTTTACTGATGTTTTTCCATTTATCTTTATGTTTTCTAACCTCAGTTTCAGGCATATCATTCTCAAGGGGTTATAATATTTGTCGACTTCATAGGTGGTTGTGGAAAATTGAACCTACATTCTGCCTTTGACTTTTTACAACAAGTTTGGGAGTGCCTATGAATCTGTCTATTTACAAGGAGCCCCAGTTCTGGATCATTATTTGGCATTTTGCATGTAATTATTTCATCAATAAACGATGTGACCTGATCATCACCATCACATTCATACACTGGTGTATCTTCAAGCCAAATTAGCATATGAATGTGACGTGAGCCTCTCTGCTGATACCCTACTCTGTAAAAACCAGTCTGCCATTTTTCCTAAAGGAGAAGCATTGCTCATTAAAAAGTGCCTTAAAAACTGATTTAATTGATAATCAAAATGCCATGCATAAGTTACTGGGTCGCTCTGGATCAGCCTAGACTATTCCTCCCAGTTCAAATTCTCCAATTCAGAATCAGAATATTCTTTATCATCAACAAGCTTGCCAAGTATTCTAAGGAGTTGTATCCACTTTGTTTCAGCTGATGAAAAACTACAAAATAAAGTAGCAGGTCCGAGTTGTCTAATCATTGCAAAGATATCTTTTTTGGCCTACTCAAAATAAGGAGATGAACCACAAAGAGCTCTTAAGAATTTGTAGCCTTTATCAAGATGAACTAGTCTTTCCAGTGCACCTTCTTCCTTTAAGTGACCATCTGCCAAATTCCTGTTGTTTCCCTTGCATTTTCTCAAAGCTACTTTTGATTTCCCCAGAAGAATCCTCATTTGCAATTTTTCAGTTTTGAAAAAAAAAATTCTCAATACACATAGCTGCTATTCGATCTGATTGTCTTAATTCTGATTTGCAAATATCACTGTAATGATCATCGTGGGTAGTGGCTAGACCTTGCTTGCTTGGAGCTGGTCTAGAAAAGGAAAAATAAGGCGCTTCCTTCCCTCCACTAGTCTGGGTGGACACCTTGGGCAAGTGTTAGCACACCCTTAGCCTCCCTTTACCAGGGTTACGGTTCCACTGCCTTGTGGTGGCTAGGGATAGCCAAAGGCTAAGGGAGCAAACCCCGACAGAAAAACCGGAGTGGAGCCCCGTAAGGCAGTTTTGACGCTATATCATTTACTGGCAACTCCTGCAGTCGACCTGGTCCCGAACGTACTGGCCCTGCCTTTCCTTCGGACTCTACCAGCAAGACCGAGAGGGGGATTCTGGGACTTGGGCAAACCAGTATCTCCATATCAATCGCCCAGGCAAGCGCATGGAGAGGCAACTTCAGCATGCCCTACGGCTTCGCCAGGCATGGAAACAAACCGGGGAGTGGCAGTTACCGGTTCTAAGTCATGGCTTGATTGGCGTAGAGCCAGACGCCAGGGGCCATTCCTGACAGTGGGAGGGGCTTTTTAGCCCCATTGGATAGCTACCGCCCGCTTAAACTGGGCAGCCCCCAGTCAATAAGGTGCTTTCCCGCCACTGCCCGCCTGTCTTGCTGGGGTGAGCAGGACTTAAGTCTGGAAACAGTCTGACAAGTGGGCTGCGACTTATTCACCTAAGAATCAAGGATCTATTAGAAGAAGACCAGCTCTTACACTTGGGAGTTGGAACGTCCGAACGATGCTGACCGGACTTACCAAGGACATACGCGACATTGATGGGGCACGCAAAACAGCTGTCATCAGCAGAGAATTGGTTAGGCTCAAAGTTGATATCGCTGCTTTACAGGAAACGCGCATAGCTGGTTGCGGAAGCCTAACGGAAAAGGAATACACATTTTTCTGGCAGGGTAGAGATGAAGATGAGCCCAGAGTACATGGAGTTGGTTTTGCTGTTAGCAACAAGCTAGTACAGATGGTGGAACCAGGCTCAACCAAGTCTGAGCGCATGATGCACATAAAACTCAATACCGATCTAGGTCCCACCAACTTGCTTTCTGTCTACGCTCCAACCCTGACTTCGAGTACCGATGCCAAGGATACCTTTTACAGCCAATTGGATGATGCTATCAAACATATCCCAAACAACGAAGTGCTGATTCTCCTCGGCGATTTCAACGCTAGAGTGGGCAACGATCAAGGCTCCTGGCCTGATTGCCTTGGTCACTTTGGTGTTGGCAAATGCAATGAAAATGGTCAACGCCTTCTGGAGCTTTGCACCTATCATCACCTCTGTATTACAAACACATTCTTTGGCGTGAAGCTGCACCATAGGTTCTCGTGGATACACCCCAGATCTAAAAACTGGCACCAACTCGACCTCATCATCTCAAGACGGGAACACCTTAATAACATTCGTACTACAAGGGCATACCACAGTGCTGATTGTGACTCTGATCACTCCCTTGTCTGCACGAAGATCCAGTTACGTCCAAAGAAGTTCCATCGCGTCAAACAATCTGCTACACTTCGCATTAATGCTTCTGCTACCGCCATCCCTGAAAATGCCTCTATTTTCAACGAAATCCTGAGCTCGAAACTCGGAGACTGCCTGGAGCTTAACACAGAGGACCACTGGAGCCATATCAAGGACACCACCCTTGCTGCAGCATTAAAGGCCTTTGGCAAGAATGTACGCAAAAGCCAGGATTGGTTCAATGCAAACATCGCGACTCTTCAGCCGCTCATCGAAGCAAAGAGGAATGCCCTGCAGAACTACCAGCGTAATCCATCATCTAGCTCTTTGGAAGCACTTCGGGAGGCCAGGCGTCGTGCGAATGTGAAATGTAAGATCTGTGCTAACAACTTTTGGATGAATCTCTGTGCTGAAATCCAGTCAGCTGCTGACACTGGAAATTCTAGGGGCATGTTTGAGGGTATCAAGAAGGCGATTGGACCTACACAGTCCAAGTCCTCACCACTCAAAACATCAACTGGTGAAATCATTACTGATAAATCAAGACTGATGGAGTGCTGGGTGGAATACTATAGCGAGCTCTATGGTAGATCGAGCTCTGTCTTACCCTCTGTCCTTGACTGCATTGAAAGGCTTCCCATTATGTTTGAACTAGATGAGCCCCCCACCAAGGAAGATCTCTCCAAGGCAATCAGTCTGGAAAGGCCCCTGGGCTTGATGGTATCCCGGCTGAAGGCTTCAAATGCAGTGGAAACCAACTGCTCGACAATCTCCACCAGCTACTCTGCAAATGCTGGGAAGAGGGATATGTTCCCCAGGAGATGAGGGATTCTATTATCTCAACCCTATACAAGAACAAGGGAGACCGCAGTGATCGTAACAATTACCGTGGCATCTCACTTCTGTGCATTGCTGGAAAGCTGTTTGCCCGAGTAGCATTATACCGCCTTCAAAAGATTGCTGAAAGGGTGTACCCTGAATCCCAGTGTGGTTTCCGCTCTAATCGGTCGACTGTGGACATGATTTTCTCTTTGAGACAACTCCAGGAGAAGTGCAAAGAGCAACAACAGCCACTCTACATTGCATTCATCGACTTGACGAAGGCGTTTGACCTTGTTAGTAGAGACGGCCTTTTCAAGATTCTGCCCTTACTTGGCTGTCCTCCTAAACTCCTGAGCTTCATCAAATCGTTCCATGATGGGTCTCGGGGTACAGTGCAGTATGACGGAAACAGGTCTGAGGCATTCGATATAAACAGCGGCGTAAAACAAGGATGTGTGCTAGCCCCAACTCTCTTCAACATCTTCTTTTCAGTTCTACTGAATCATGCTTTCAAGTCCTCTGAAGAAGGCATCCTGATACGATCTCGTTCTGATGGTAAACTCTTCAACCCTGCGCGCCTTAGAGCCAAGACCAAAGTGCGTAAGGTAGCCATCCGTGATCTTCTCTTTGCCGATGATGTTGCCCTCGTTGCTCACA